ACGGGGGGGGGGGGGTGTGTAATGTAGACAACTACCCTAACACAAACATCAAGGATTGATTCCATAGCTCGAACTCGTGATCAAACCTAGCAACATCGAATCCTAAATACTTAGCAAAACAGTTAACTATAAAGTAGTTGGAAAAGGATTGAATCCACTTTGGACCATATCTTCTAAAGGACCAAAGAGTGGTTTAGGGAGATTGTTCCATTCATACCAATCCCAACCAGCACATTTATCAGGTTCAAGTGTTTCAGGCTTCTGGTTAACATCAGCAGGGACTGCTCTGATGAATACGCAAACGGTGTGAACTTTCTCTGAGATCACATTGTTAGTCACCGTTAGATACTCGGTTTTATCAATTATCAATCCTGTTTCCTCCTTCACCTCCCTCGTTGCACACTCTTCAAAACTTTCCCCTGTAACAAATACATGATCAATGTAAATAGGCGTGTTCAACATGTTTTGAGCCTCGCTTCAGGACTTCAATGCACTTTAAGCGCGCCTTGAACAACACTGAACAACTATCGCCTCAACCTCTTATTCAGAACCATAGGCTTCTAGGCTATGAACATGATTACTTATTTGATCCTATTGCTGAACTCAAATATGAATATACTGTGTTTTCAAATATGTCTTTTGAATTAAACAGAACCAATTGGTTCTCCTTCTGTTTCAATTTGTTTGTTACTTTCCTTTTTAGTCTGTTAAAAAAAGAATGTCTTTTATTCTTTTCTGACAACTCTTTAGTTCTAACTTCTACGTAGCATGTTTAAGACCACATGATTAAATCATGTTTTGGTATCTTCTACCTTTCTTTAATTAAGAACCACAAGATTCAAAAGTTTTCTTTACTATCTTAAACTTCGTATCAAGTCAAAATCAGAAAAACAAACTGCTACCGCTTGTGATAAGCAACAACTAGAGGACATTCAACTTATGCATACTTTCTAGGTGAAATGGGCAGCTATTACTCCCTCGGCCCCAATTTATGTGTGGCACAACTGAAATTTTGAAATTCAAACTTCTAAACTTAGATTGTGAATTCAAACATAGAAGTTTTAAGTTTTTGAAATAAAATCAAGTATATATTTGGAAACAACTTAAAAAGTATTATAAATCACACTAATTAACCACAAAAGTTATATTACAATCTTGCAAGATATTTTTCCAAATAAAGGTGATTGTTTAGGTTTTTGCAAAAAAATAAGTTTTTTCATACTCAAATTTATCTTCTTTTCAGTTTAATAATCTAGCAAAAAGTCACTATAAATTTTAGATCATATAGCAAATAAATCATATCATGAATCATAACTAATAGATGAATTTAAGCTTTGATAAACAACGGGAAGATATTTTTAGGTACTCACCGAACTCCAGATGGCCGCCGGGAAGTGCAAAGGTGCTATGGCCGACGGCGGAGAGGCGTTTCCCCAACAGAACTTTACTTCCTTTTAAAAGAAACACCGCTACGCCTACTTTTGGCATCGGAGGTGATGGTGGCATAGTGGTGGCCGGCGTTTGCTGAGCGCCGTTTTCCATTTCTACGGTACCGGAATGAATTTAACGGGAAGGCGGAGATTTCATGTGGAGTATTTATATATATGAAAATTTTGTAATTGGGTCCCGCCAGTAGTAAAGCAGGGCCCAATAGTACGAAGCTCTTGGGCTTTTTTTGACTGACCAGCCCATTCAAACTTGTGTGGATGGGAAGGTTTGCACAAATAGTCTATTTTGTGTCATTATTTAAATTTTAACCTCATTTCAATTATTCGTATAACCTAAATACACAACTTATTTTATCATATTCTTAAAAATTTCCTACCATTTGAAAAAATTACAAAAATCCTACACGATGTATTGAGATGTTGAGTGATGTATATGAAGCCGAGACGTGATGTATCGGGAGGTTGAGCGAAGTATCCAAAACCGGGACGTGATGTATCGGGACATTTTGGAATGTATTCGGATTCCACCAAATTTAAGGGATTTTTGTAATTTGAAAAAGAGTAGAGATAAAATATATTTAGCTCTTAACACTATGTGATTTGTGTAAAATTCCCAAAAAAAATAATTGGATCATCTTACGAGTCTTAATAGATCGTCACAAGTTCGAATGGATACAACAAAAATAAAGAAAAAGATGTTCGATGGCATGTGTGCATGCCCTGAGCACGATATTTGTTAAGTATTTTTTTGCCTCTTCAAAATCTATTGACTCAATCAGGACAAATCGTAGTTAGGATATTGTCTAAATAAAATTCACTAACAAATTTAAGAAACAATCCATGTACTAAACCATTTAGGAAATTTACATACTTTATTCCTCATAATTTGGGAACTTAAAGTAGTGCAAATAATAAAATAAAAAGGGATAGCAAAAAGGGGATGGAGGAAGAAGATTTTAAATGGCCTTGATATAAATATATACCATTCAATATTATTACATGAACTTTCACTGAATAATGAAGTTTATTGTTTATTGTTTATTGTTTACAATTAACCGTCAATCCAGCAACTAATTAAACGAGTTATAAAATTCAGTAATACATTCAAATTTTATAAATTTCCAATTCTAACTACGACTTGCTGTTGTAATAATTTTAATTTAGGGTCTATGGTCAATGCCCAATGGAGTGTTTACATCTACTACCAAGATAGCATCGTCTGGCTGTTATACTTGCTGCAATTTTAATTCAAAAATAAATAAATATCGATTATTATTTTTCGAAATCAAACACAATGACACTTTTTTATTTCTAAAAAATAAATTATAAGTTTCTCATTACATGTTTAATGACAAGTTTTTATAATCATAATTCACAAATATTTCACCGTGTGATTTATACTCACGACCACAAAGTATTAGAAACTATCAAAAAAAAGTTCTTTAAATATTGTGTCTAATCAAATATCTTTACATAAATTATAAAGGGTCATTTGCATTTTTTCCTGTATTTTGTGCCGGTTTTTAATGATTGTCCCTCAAGCTAAAAAAACTAAAAAAATCGCAAGATATAAATTCATATTTTTACATAATAATAGTTTATAAGTTATGTTTCACGCTCTTAAATAAATTTTATTATTTATAAATGCAAAAACTAAAATTCAACTTATTTAAGTGATAAAAAATAAAAATGTACTCATTTGAAAGAAAAATCATGCAATTAAATGGAAACAAGACTATACATATGCGTGAACTAATTTGCCACACATTAATATATAGTAGTTCTCATTAGGGGTTGCGAAGTTTTAAAAATTAAAATTAAAATTAAAATATTTGATTCTCAAATTTTGAATTGTGACGCGTAAACTGAGAAAAGGTTCGAGCAAAAATTTACCAGGAGGTGGTTTGATACGTGCTTTATGATCTGATTTAGGTAGGTGAGGTGGTGCTGATATTTTACTATTTTCCCAATCTGTTATTCAAATAGAATTTATATATATTACGCTATCATAATAATCAATTTATCTCGAATATAAATAATTTGATTGTATAAATACATAGAATTCGAAATCAAACACAATGACACTTTTCTATTTCTAAAAAATAAATTATAAGTTTCTCATTACACGTTTAATGACAAGTTTTTATAATCATAATTCACAAATATTTCACCGTGTGATTCATACTCACGACCACAAAGTATTAGAAACTATCAAAAAAAAGTTCTTTAAATATTGTGTCTAATCAAATATCTTTACCTAAATTAAAAATGGTCATTTGCATTTTTTCCTGTATTTTGTGCCGGTTTTTAATGATTGTCCCTCAAGCTAAAAAAAACTAAAAAAATCGCAAGATATAAATTCATATTTTTACATAATAATAGTTTATAAGTTATGTTTCACGCTCTTAAATAACTTTTATTATGTTATAAATGCAAAATCTAAAATTCAACTTATTTAAATGATAAAAAATAAAAATGTACTCATTTGAAAGAAAAATCATGCAATTAAATGGAAACAAGACTAAACATATGCATGAACTAATTTGCCACACATATTAATAATATAGTAGTTCTCATTAGGGGTTGCGAAGTTTTAAAAATTAAAATTAAAATTAAAATATTTGTTTCTCAAATTTTGAATTGTGACGCGTAAACTGAGAAAAGGTTCGAGCAAAAATTTACCAGGAGGTGGTTTGGTAGATGCTTTTTGATCTGATTTAGATAGGTGAGGTGATGCTGGTATTTTACGATTTTCCCAATTTGTTATTCAAATAGAATTTATAAATATTATGCTATTATAATAATCAATTTATCTCGAATATAAATAATTTAATTGTATAAATACATAGAATTTAAATCCAATTCAAACAAAGAACAAGCACTTTTGGGTAGAAAATATATTTTTTGTTTGTGCGGGGGAGGGGGGGGGGGGGGGGTTTAGTGGCACTACCTACTGTCTTTGAATTTCTTCCCATTTGGTCAAATTGATGAATAAAAAATTAATTTTTTAATCTGTCTAAATTTGGTATCTACTTTATTTTCAATAGCCTAATTATTTATAGTCTATTTGATTAAGTTTGAAAAATTATTTATTTTAAAAAGTATTTTTGTTGAAAGTGTTTGTTAAAGTTTTTTTTATACATATATATGATAGTAATTTGTATTAGACTAATTAATTTAAAAAGACTTGTTGATCTAGGGTAATAGTTTATGCTTGATTATAATTTCAAAAGTGTTTTTGGAAAAACTTGAATTATTGAAAAAAATGCTTTCTGAAGACATTTTTTTATATTGAAAACTGAAGCGTGATACCTCAAATTAAAGTAAAACCCATTACAATAAACGGAACAAGAAAACAAGAATAAAGCAAAAAAAGAAATTGACAAAAAAATTGTTATAAAATATTATATAACAATATTTTTATTGCTTTCATCTTCTATATTTTTTGTCTTATTTTGCTTTAGTTTTACAACAAAAACTACTTATTAGTCCAAATTAAATGCCATCGTACTAATTAGAATTCTCAACATGGTATATCTTAAACTAATGAATTTGTTTACTTCCTTCAACTGAAAATTTAGGGGAAAAAAAAATTAAAATACATTAAAGAGAAGGGATAAATATATAATTTTTTAAAGAGCAACTTTCAAATATAGCAAACACAAAATTCATATTTGTATGCTACAGCAAAGTTTGCATAATTGCGCTCCATAGCAAACATATATATGTATAATTCGCTATACATATACAAAAAAAAAACAGTTGTATAATTTGCTTTGGTATACATATACAAAAAGATCAATTGTATAAAGTGAGAGAGGCGAGTGAGTGAGCGAGATCTGGGAGAGGGGAGAGAGGGGAACGAAATATATGTATATATACAATTTTCT